TTTAGCTGCATAAAATATTATTTTGTGTGGCTTTTATAACTAGACATTTAAATTTATATAAAATTAAATAAATAGATATAAATATTTTACGTGACATAATAGGACATCACATAGAAATTGTGTAGGATGCGAATTATCATAACATCACGTAGAATGTGTGTTTTTTTTGTTCATATCTATACAAATTTAAAATTTATTTGTGCATATCCAAAGTTAAAAGACATAATGATAAATAAAATGACATGTTTATGTGTCACCTAAATTGAAACGGACAAAGAGGGTTGTAAATCTGTCAAATCAGGGGATGCGCTATTATAGGTAAATGGGGTTGGTGGTAGCCCTGCAATTTGTATATACCCTTTATATAGAAAAGAGTGACCCAATACTATAGGAACTCTCTTCCATCTCTCTCAAGATCTTTGTTGGGAGGAGAAAAGAGGCTAAAATTTGCTCAAAATTTGTGTCCTCATCTCCCCTATCCAATTCAAAATTGTGTCTTTAGAGCTATTGGCCACCAAATTTCTAAATCCCATTATTGTCGTTTCTTGAATTCCATTCATGTGGCTGTAATTGAAATTCAAGATTTTTTAACTCATCAGATTTATCAGGTACACATTAGTCCACCCAGATACCACAAGATTCTCTTTTACTAGCATAAAGCTTATAACTTTGTTAAAATATGGAAAAAGACTCCACCTTTGATGTGCTGATGATAATGGGCATTGAGTGATACCATTTGGGTATCTTTTTTCTTTTATATCAAATCCCTTTTGGTTATTCTTTCTTATCAAACCCCTTTTGGTTATTCGTTCTGGGATTTATTCCTTCATGTCATATATTGATGTATATGTATGTTCTATCTGTGTAATGGACTGATACATTGTTCTTATGTAGATTTCAGATTGTGGAATTCATTTAATTGACTTGGTGGAAGAGGAACTAGCCAGGGTAAGGCTTATTCTTTACCATAAGGATCTTTTATTAGCACAAACAGTATAATTTTGTTTACGTGTGGAGAAATTATCTACCTTTAGAAATGTAGACGTTGATGTGCTGAAAATGGACATTGAGTGATGCCCATTTGGTATTTTTCGTATTCGTATTTATATCAGAATATAGATTCCTTTATGTCTATGTTTCCATTTTCCTTTCTGGGATTTGTTTCTGTATGTCATATCTTGGTGTGCACATTTGCTTTGTTTGAGTGATTGACTGTTACATTGCTCAACTGTTGATTTCAGATTGCATCTAGATCTTGATAAATCGGGGATCCGTTTGGTTGGATAATTATCTTGTATAAAGAGAAATCAGCCAGGTTAAGGCTTATTCTTTGATCAGAGTTGTTGTTTTAGTCTTTCTCTAAACCCCTATCCTATTGTTTGTATGAAATTCTTTTAATATGCTATGGTTGTGCGAATTGGTTGCTTGTGGCTTAGGACTGCATTTGAACTTTGAGGTGTTTGATGGAATGCACGGTATTGGTTTTTGTTTATGGTTAGCAAAAAGGATTGCCTTTCCACTCTTATGTATTGTGAATTTTTGCATCAAGATTCTGTAATTTCACTTTAGTTTTCTTGATATAGCTATTTAGTTTTGAAGGTAATTGCTTTATGTTTTGAATCTCTATCGAGGGTGGACTATATACAGTTCACTAGAGGGAGTTGCCTTCCCGATGACTACTTTTCAGCAGCTTTGAAATCTGAGGCATTTGTGAATAACATGATAGTTAAGTTACGACATGTTTTCTGGTTCTTCTATATTTGAATTTGATTCTGGAATTAGCTCTCTTGTGGGTAAATCAGTAAAAAGGGACAACCTTCAGTTAATGGGGTGTCATTTGTCTTGTGGAACTATTATAAGTTGTAAGGGCTGGGATGCTCTCCAAAAGCTCCCTGCTTGGATTCTTTCAAAGCTGGTGAGCAAACATGAGGAGAGCAATTTAGATAAATTCAAGATTCATCAAGCTCAAAACCATAAGAAGTCTCTTGAATATCTTCTTCATGGTTTTTTCCTTCCTTAAAACTAATTTGAACCTCGGAGTCTGCTTTGAGGTTGAACTTTAAATAAATAGAATCAGATTAGTTTAATTCTCTGAAGGTCTTCAATCTCAGTTGGCTTTCAGAATTTCTGCTGCTATCTGATAAAGAGTATTATTATCACCACTGGATTTCCAATTTTCTCCTCTTCTAGTACATGTTTTTGGTCCTTACATTTTAATATGTTTATCGAGGAGAAGAAAAGTCGAGAATCAAAGGAAGAGATTCTTGTACATGTCTATTTTTTTTGCTTCTTTGTTTTTGGTTAGGCGGTTATGCAGGGAGAAATTTGTGCATTTAGTCCTTCACTCCTTCCTTACTATGAATGAGCAAATGATAATGGGATAGTGCTGGAGTTCTAACTTGCTGTCTCACTCTTTCGTTTTGTCAAGCGTTGTGTGTAGATAATTTGTAGGCAGAAGCAGTTTGATCACTTTGGTTCTAAACTAGCTGACTTTCATAGGACACCAATGTCAAAATTATCTAGAGAATTCAAGTTAGCATACAAACTTTTGATCTGTTCTTTTTTTGTCATCTGACATATCAGTTTCTGATTATCAGAGTGCCTCAGGCCGGGAGGTGTAAAATTGTGAATGATTTCGTTTAGAAGAACTTTACCTGGATTATTTTTGGTGCTATTTACTCCTAAATTTGGGGTCACTCCACAAACACCCAAGCTAGACTTTTTATTACATCAAGGACGCCTAGTGTTGTTTACTATATAGGTTCATGGCTATTGACTGTAGAGATTAATGTTCTTTTTTCCACTGCACCAACTTTTAGCAGAAGCGTTAAGCTTAACTTTGATAATATACTCTTGCAATCCGCTCCTTCCCACCAAATCATTCTTTTTCTACAATTGAGAATTGTAAACAGTCAATGCAATAGCTAATAACTTACATTTAGACTGAGAATTCTTTTTCCCCTTTTTTTTTTCTTTTTTTTCCAGATTTTCCAATGGGTGATATAGCCAAGGATTTAACAGCTGGGACTGTAGGTGGTGTAGCACAATTGGTCGTTGGTCACCCTTTTGATACCATAAAGGTCAAGCTTCAAAGCCAGCCTACTCCACTTCCAGGGCAGCTTCCAAGATATTCTGGTGCTATAGATGCTGTCCGGCAAACAGTAGCTGCGGAAGGTGCCGGGGGGTTGTTCAAAGGCATGGGAGCCCCACTTGCCACTGTGGCAGCCTTTAATGCTGTGCTCTTCACCGTGAGAGGTCAAACAGAGGCATTCTTGAGGTCTGAACCTGGAGTCCCTCTTACTGTGAACCAGCAAATCGTTTGCGGGGCTGTTGCTGGAACTGCTGTGTCTTTTCTTGCTTGCCCAACTGAGCTTATAAAATGCAGGTTTGTTTCTAGTGCATTATAACTTAAATGTAGTATATAATCTAGCCTTCACAAAGTTTCCCTTGCTTATGTTTGCCATGTTGTATCCTTAGTAGTGACATGTGCATTATAGATGGAAAGAAAAAGAAAGCATCATGTACTTTTCAACTTGTTGTTACCATTGTTTGGTCAAATGATCAAAACTACTAGGAATCAACTTCTGTACTTGGCAATTTACTCGTTGAATTACATGAGTGCAGATTGCAAGCTCAGGGTGCATTGGCAAGTATAGGCTCAGCTGCTGTGGCAGTGAAATATGCAGGGCCAATGGATGTAGCAAGACATGTTCTTCAATCCGAAGGAGGCATGAGGGGTCTCTTCAAGGGCTTGTTTCCCACCATGGCACGTGAAATACCCGGAAATGCTGCTATGTTTGGCATGTATGAAGCACTAAAGCAGTACTTTGCAGGAGGCACAGACACTTCAGGGTTGGGAAGAGGTTCTCTTATTGTAGCAGGTGGCCTGGCTGGTGGTTCCTTCTGGATCTCCGTGTATCCAACAGATGTCATCAAGAGTGTAATCCAGATCGATGACTATAAAAACCCAAAATTCTCTGGCTTTTTTGACGCTTTCAAGAAGATCTTGGCATCGGAGGGAATCAAAGGCCTTTACAAGGGCTTTGGACCTGCTATGGGACGTAGTGTCCCTGCAAATGCTGCATGTTTCTTGGCGTATGAGATGGCTAAGTCTAGTTTGGGATAATTCATTGTTGATGGGGAAGGATTTTAGACATTGTTATTGATAATTCTTTGAACCTAGCATCTGCTGAAATTCTGTAATTCCAGTTCAACTTCCAGCTGAGCGATTCTGCTTTTATAGATTTAAGCCATTTTTTTTCTTTGGCAAGTGGTTTATGACCTTATTTGGCTTCAAGAAGCAAAATGTCTTGAAGAGACAAATTCTCTCTTCAAAAGAAGGGTGTCCTTTCATGCTTAAGTGTTGACTAGACGATCCGAGCAATAAAATTCTCAATTATAACACAAGGTACTGTTTAGATTGAATGTACTATAACGAGGATAAAATGTAAACTAACCATTGTAGTTAGGGAGATGACTCTTGAGGAGGAGGCCGAGATAGTTAAGTTGAGAGTAAGCAACTTCAAGAAGCTCACCAAACTATGCAAAAGGCATCTAGTTCCTCGTGAGTTCATCCGGAATTTCACCATACGGTTCGAAATAGATTCTCAAATTATGTCAAGGGGGTGCTATATACATTATATAACATAAATGCCATAGTTGGCCTTACATATAATGTGTTTCTGCCCCCCTAACTCCGCCCTTGGATGAAACAATGTGTCGCCCTCTTGTTGGATTTCCTTTTCCAAATTGCTTTCTCTTAAGTCGAGATCTCTCAAATCAATAACACAGTTGTCACTTGTAGTCATTTCTATATATAGATTTCGATCTGATATAATATACACTTGTAGGATTATATCGTTATATTGTTGTAATATATATTTATATATAATAAAAAAATTAACTTTTTTTTCTATTTTTATCATAATAAAATTAAAAATCATTTTTTAATTAATTGATAGTTAAAAATTTAAATAGCGGAAATCAACTTGAAAAAGGTCTTCTTATCTCTCTTTGTCCCGCCTGAGCTGGGCTATTTGCTTCGGCTCTCGTTCATCGGAAGGTTCTTCTCTCCGCCGCCGACAACCGCCATCTCCGCCGTCTCTGAGCTCTATATAAAATTGAGTTTGCTAAGCGAGATTTTAGCTTTCAAATAACTTTCACTAGCCTAAATTGCTCTTAATCAGGTACTATTGATTTCTCACCTTTTTTCGGATTTCTGTTTCTTTAGGTTACAATTCTAATAGAATATGTAATAGATAGCTTGGAATGAGCTTTAAAAAGTTTATTGGTTTGGCAGATTGAAGTTTAAACATTAGAAATCGATGGCGCATAGGTTGCTGAGAGATGCTGAAGCTGATGGATGGGAACGATCTGATTTCCCTATTATATGCGAGTCGTGTCTCGGTGACAGTCCGTATGTGCGAATGGTAAGTTTTTCGTTTCATTTTTTGTTATTGTAAAGGTCTGAATGGTCTTAGGGTTTATAATAATCTCTAGCGCTTTTGTTGCTGACTGCAAATTGAAAACATACTTGAGGAATGTTTTCATATTTGCATTGCTCCTATCTGCTATTGAAATTTGAGGTGGAAGTGTAGGAAACTTTATCCCGCGAAGAAGTCGAGAAATCTCTAGTCGTAGTTTTAGGTGAATATAGGTGCAAAGAGGCTAGAGCAGATGGATATTGAGGATTCATATAGCCAACAGTGAAGTATGTGAATAAGGCAAAGTTGAATGATTGGTTGATTGATATGGTTTTAGTTGAATATAGTAAGGTTACTTTGAATACAACTAGAAGTTCATTTTCAGAATTTTTTAGGTGAATTTTTAAGAATTCATCATTTATTTCAAGTACTCTAATTTATTAATACAGTAGGAATGATTAGTAATTGTAGAAATATATGTGTTCTATTGTGCAAAATCAAATAAAGAAGGGTGCCTTTATTGAAGTTTAAAAGGTTAAAGTCTGTCATTTCTCAACCTTGAAAGATCACGGACTCCAATTCCTAATGTAGCGCTCTTTAAGAATGTGGAGTGTGTGAAGAATGTGGTTGGATCCTTTGATGAAGGTAGCAACGTAGTGTTTTATCAAATTCCTAAGTAAGGTATGTGTTAGATTTGCTCTACAGGAAAGGCTGTTAGCCTTTCTGTAAGGACTGTTAAGCTCTGGTAGCATTTATTTAATTGCTTATCTTTGTGCTAGCTGCAGTAAACTGTATTTTGAATTCCATTTACGTGTAGCTAGGCGAGACCACTTGCATTATAATCATTGTGGCTTTCTGAAGCTCTTTGTTTGGACCTTTATCCATCGACAGCTTCTCCTGATGTGCCACTACTTTTGGCACATTGTTACGATGTTTACTCTCTTCATACAGTTTTAGGAATTAATTTCATGCTCAAAGAGTATCTCCATTTTGGCAGTAGAATCAGTCTGGTCTCTAACTTTGTTTGGGTTTCAGCTGCATGTCCTCTACTATAATCTTTCTTTCTCCAATTTCACTATCTGACATTTGATCTTGTTATGGTTTTTGTACAGACAAAAGCAGATTATGACAAGGAGTGCAAGATCTGCACGCGACCCTTCACAGTGTTCAAGTGGAGGCCTGGTCGGGATGCGAGATACAAAAAGTCTGAGATCTGTCAGACCTGCAGCAAATTGAAGAATGTTTGTCAAGTTTGCCTGTTAGATCTTGAATATGGTTTGCCCGTTCAGGTCCGAGACACTGCTCTCAGTATCAACTCAAATGATGCCATCCCAAAGAGTGACGTAAATAGAGAATATTTTGCAGAGGAGCATGACCGCAGGGTATGTGATTTACTAACTGGAAGCCCAACTTATAATTATGAATGAAATGTTTTTTTAACTAATTGCTTGTAGGACCATTTAATTTACTTACATATAAATAAGGACAACAAAATATTTCTCTGAAGCTTTAGGCCCCTCTTCTTTTTGTTTTTTCTAAACTTAATTTACTTTCTTAAAGAGGGCATACTGCAAAGCTACAACTTAATTGATGAGTTGCCAAATTATGAGCTGAAACAATCCTATAAGCTGACATTTTGGCAATTTCGAGGCTTTCTAGGTACCCCCTCCCCCCCACATCCAAATCTTGCTGGGAACTACTCAGGGATGAGGTGCAGTTTTAAATTAGGAGAAGAAATTAAACCTGGTGAAACTAAGGGTTTAGAACTTTTAAGAAGCACCTCCAAAAAAAAAAGATGCTGTTTTTTCAGTTTTCTTGGTTTTCCCCAAAGTAATACTTAAGTTTTTGATCAGGCAAGAGCTGGTATTGATTATGAATCTTCATATGGGAAAGTCCGTGCAAATGATACTATCTTGAAGCTTCAAAGAACAACTCCATACTACAAGAGAAATCGGGCACATGTTTGCAGTTTCTTCATACGTGGTCAATGTACAAGAGGTTTGGAGTGTCCTTACCGGCATGAGATGCCTGAAACAGGGGAGTTGTCACAGCAAAATATCAAAGACCGTTACTATGGGTATGTCTATGTCAATCTAATTCTTTGTTGCTGATGTGAAATTCTCCTTTTTCCAATGATGCTCATATATCTGTATTGACATATTTGTGATAGGGTTTCTGATCTTTAATTTTGCTTGGGGTGTGAGAAGGGTGGTTCACTTTTCTGTTGATATGTTCATGAAGACTTACTAGTCACTTTTTTTTAGAAGACTTACTAGTCATTGTAGACACATTATCTGTTTTCCTCAGTTGCAATGCTAATATAGGATGAAGGCCAGAGATGCATGGCCACACGATGTTATATAAAATAGTAAATAATACATCATTGTGGGATTACTATGGGTATGTTGTTGTATAACTAAAAAATACGTCAGTACAGCAAGTGGGAGGAAAAAAGGGGGATTGACCTGGAGCTTATGTTCTCTTTTATCATGTAAGAAAGGAGAAGTAAAACAACTTAAGTAAAATGTATCTCGATGTGGGAAGACATTAATGTGGACTTGGTCAACTGACTCAGGAGGTGAATAGTTTGTATTGAGTTGCTCTTTTACCCTCGTTGAATTTATTAACAAAAACATATATAAACATGCAAATTTATCTCATCTGATATATAAAGTCGTCCTGCTGTCGATATATTATAATTATTTTTCATAGTTTTGCAGCTAAAAAATGCTTGTGTGGTGTAATTGCTTTCTACTACTGGCAGTCTTCATTCCCATACTTTATTCAGTGACTTATTCCTTTCTGGTTTCTCAATCCTCTCTGCTTGTATTTGAGTTATGCCTTATTCAAGTATATTTTTTTGGAGTAAAGCCTTATTTAAATATCTTTACATGCCATCTTGTTCAAATCCTTGCACTCAACAACCAATGGAAGTCTTAAGAAGAAATTTTTTGTGAATGCTTTTTCATGTGATTCAACAGCTTGTTGAGGTTCAAATAATTGCCGAAACTGGCAAGAATCCAGAACCCAGTCATCTCCGTGGTTATGGACATAATTAAGTTAGGACATTTTACTCTAGAAAGATCCCCATTTTCCTCATGACCAATCAATTAAATACTCTATGCACTTTTGAAACTCATCTTACCTTGTCTCTCCACAATTACGTGATGGCTAGGCCGATTATTGATGACATCTATTTGCTGGTTACTTTTCTTTTGCTATTCTATACCCTGTTCTCTTTTACAGAGATCTATTTATCCTACATTTTCGACTGACAGTTTTCACTAATGTACCTTAAATGCTTGCAGGGTCAATGATCCAGTGGCTTTAAAGCTACTTAATAAAGCAGGTGAAATGCCTTCATTGGAGCCCCCTGATGACGAGAGCATTCGAACCCTCTATGTGGGTGGTGTTGATGCAAGAATCACTGAGCAGGACCTTAGGGACCATTTTTATGCACATGGTGAAATTGAGTCCATTAAAATGGTGGTCCAGCGTGGTTGTGCTTTTGTAACTTACACGACTAGAGAAGGTGCGGTGAAGGCAGCTGAGGAACTTGCAAACAAGTTGGTGATAAAGGGCCTGAGACTGAAGCTACTCTGGGGGAGGCCTCAAGTTCCCAAGCCAGAGTCCGAGGTCTCTGATGAAGCAAGACAGCAGGCTGCTTTAACTCACAGTGGTTTGCTGCCTAGAGCAGTAGTATCACAGCAGCAGAATCAGCCTCTTCAGCCACCAGGCACTCAGGACCAACCTCCATCCATGCCTTACTTCAACATACCCCCGATGCCTCAGCAAGACAGACCATATTATCCATCAATGGATCCACAAAGGATGGGTGCCGTAATTGCATCCCAGGAAGGGGCATCTAGTTCAACTACAGGATCTGGTCCTGGTGAAAATAAAATCGGTTCTGATCATCAACAAGGACACCATTATGCATATCCACCTGGAGGGCCACCACCTCCGGGTCAATTTTACCCACCTTATTATCGTCCACCCTATGGATATATGCCACCACCTCCTCCACCTTATCACCAGTATCCTCCTCCACCTTATCAAGCTACAGCACCCCCACCACCTAGTGCTCAGCAAGCCGCACATCAGCAGAACCCTCGGCCAGCTGCAGCAGCAACCACACAGCAGCCTTAATCTGGGCAGTTTTGTCAGACATCTGCAATGGTAAGAAGAATCAATGTCAAACGCGTAGCCATTTTGAAATCAAGTGTGCATTCTGTTTTGCCAGATGAAAATCTTCGGTGTTAGGTTTCTCGTCTCTACCAACCTTTCATGTTTTCATTTGCTTGACTATGATCTCATTTAAACCTTTCACCATTTGAGCGAATTGCATTCTGCCCTCATCTTTTTCCCTTTAAAGAAAAGCTCCATGCGGTTTTATGAATTTTACATTTGTGCTAGGCATATATACATGTGCATTGTGATCTTATCTGCTTTTATTTATTTATTTTTCGTCGTCTTTGGAAGTATTAGAATTTATTGTTTCTGCGTCCATAAGGAAATCTTCCGTGAGTTTGGATTAAAATTTCACATTCTTTTCATGCCCATACGCGTGAGGAATACTTACTTCTAGTTGTTTTACATAGTTTCCAAAAAAATTAATTCTAGTTAGTTACCAAATTTTGTTTCCCAATCCTTTTTTTTTAGACTACACGCTAGTTTCTAAATATTCCATTTAATAAGTTACCATAAATTGCTTTTCAATTACCTATTCTAAATAGGATTGCAACGTAATCTGTGTGTATATATATATGTATGTTAACCCTTCACATAATTTTTTATATCACATAATATTTTACTTCCCAAAGTTTTTCAATCAACACAACAATGTCTTCCTGTGTTTCATCATTAGGTCATGATCGATACTCTTCCAACAATTTCGATGAACTTTTCAACCTACCACGCTACAAGAGGTATTTAGACTTCACTTCTCATGAAGTTAATGATCAGCTGGAAAATCACAGCAACAAGAGACTCAAATTTAGTCATGATGATGAATTTGTCAACGTCGAAAAGAGAGTAGTTGAATTTAGTAACAAAGAGTTACCATGCCTAAAAATAGTGGCTGGATCTGTATACATACCTAAAGACGATCCAAAGAAGCCTTTAGGTGAAGATGCACACTTCATACATGAATTATTCCAAACTATTGGTGTCGCGGATGGCGTTGGTGGCTGGGTAAAACAGGGGATTGATGCTGGAATATACGCAAGAGAGCTTATGAAGAATTCACATATCGCTACATATGATGAAGCTATGAAAGGTCATGTGAACCCTAAAAGGGTTCTTGAAGAAGCTTACAAAAACACACATTCAAAAGGATCGTCTACAGCTTGTATTATAACTCTTAACTCAGAAAAAAATACTATAGTTGCTGCTAATGTTGGTGATAGTGGATTTTTACTAATCAGAAAGGGAAAAATTATATACAAGTCGCCAATACAACAACGAGGATTTGGGTGTCCATATCAATTGGGAAACTGCAAGGATAATCCTAGTGTTGCTCATGAGATGGAATTAAACGTCGAGAAGGATGATATTTTGATGGTTGGGACGGATGGGATGCTTGATAATATGAATGATAGTGAAATTGAGGAAATTGTTCGAAGAGCGATAGACGAGAAGTTGAAACCAAAGGAATTGGCTAAGAAAATTGGAAACATTGCATTGTACAACTCATTTGATAGATTTGCAGATACACCATATGCAAGAGCTTCTAAGGGACGACATAAAGGAGGAAAAGTTGATGATATTACTGTTATTGTTGCTTATATACAATAATAATACAATTTAGATATAGTAAAAAAAATAGAATGTATTTGTTAGGTTGCCTATTATATATGAACCACAAAATGTAATGGGCAGACTTTATTATATAATAATACAAATGTTATATTTCAGATTTCATAACTACTCTGCTATTTTGGTATTTCATAAATTTGCAACTTCTCTTTGATGTTTATTTCTAATTTTACATTTAATATTATGCATGTGGTGATTTTTAATGTTATCTGATCTCATGACCGCACATTCATCTTACATATGTAAGACACTCATTTTGTGAATATATAGTCATTATTATATATACATTAGTATGATTGAAAAAAAGAAAATAGAAACAATAAAAACTTAGTAGAAAACATCTTTTGACTAATTTTACTAATTGTCTTATTGTTCCATGGAGAATACTCCATGGGTTGCACGCACGTAGAGTGAAGGGGGATTAGTTAAACATTCATCATTCTAGCCAGAAAATCATATTGGAAAGTCATATTGCGTATCAAAAGTGTTGGGTTCTAAAATGAATAAGGCGTCATGCGGAACCTTACAATTGCAAATCATATGATAATAAATTAGATAACAAAAACTTAACTAAAAACATAATATTATTATATGAAAACTAATATAAAAGAAAAATATTAAAATTGTTGAGAGAATAAATCTCCCCATAAACTAAAATCTCTAAACGACTATATTGTGGATTCTATTGTGTTTTTTATATGAAAAGAGAGGTTTTCAATTTATAGAGTTCCAATTTTTCTTCCAAGGAAAGAATAACTCAAATATAGAAGAATATTATATTTTTCTTTCAGGAAAAGTATAAACATTTATAATAATGTTTTGTCTTTTCTTTTAGGAAAAAATAAACTTCAAATAAGATAAGAAAATCAGGGCAAAACCCTAACAAGAAGAAGATTCACAAAGATAACAACTCCGGATTTAATTGTTACTAGTTGGAACCGATGTGTAGGGCAGAGGGCTCGTACTTTTTTTTTTAACCCTCCCTAGGAGCTCCCACCCCTTTTTGCTCCCTTGGTGACTCGAACTCGCAACCTTCAGATTGGAAGTGAGGGGTGCTTACCATCAGAACAACTTTCTCTGGTCAGAGGGCTCGTACTACCCCTTTGATTAATCCAAATCTTTTCAAACAGAACGAAACAAAAATATGAAAATCCAACAACTCCTCACTCTTAGCTTTTTGTTGCATATCCAACTCATCCCCGAGTGGTACCTGACCACATATTATTCAACTATAATTTATGGAAATAATTTTAAAAATTAATTTGAATTATTCTTATCATAATAAATTATAAATCATGGTTAATAGTATATATTCCAACACTTTTATTACGACTATTGAAAAGGCTCTATTTGGGTCTCAAATCCAAAACCTATTGTTAAGGCTCTATTTGGGGCCCACTCGATAGTTATTTCCCAATGATCACTGTTTCATTTGAATTTGATGGCTAGCTAGCTAGCTTTGGCCTAAACTAGAGCACTCATGTTCATTTTGTAGGTAAAAAACAACTATAGTAATGAAAAATCAACAAAAAGCTAATAAGCTACTCTCTCTGCTTCAATTTATTTATCTGATTTTGACTTGACACAAAATTTAAGAAAGTAAAAAAGTAACGATATGTTAAATGTACTAAAATGTCCTTTAATTTAATCTTATGATCTTAAACATGACATGTAGAAAATTATAATCAAAGAGTTGCCACAAAAAGGGGAAAACATTTGTTTTTTAAATGGACTAAAAAGGAAAGCACGAGAAACAAATCAAAACGAAACGAGTAATAGATAGAAAATGTAGTACAATATTTAACAGAATTCTTCTATGATGCAACATAAAGAAAGATAGCATTTTGCAATAGAGCCTAAAGTAGTGGGGTATTTTTGTTCTTTTTATCTTGAGAGTGGGGACTTTGGTGTCCTAAATATTGAGACAATGCATAATACAAGGGTCATGATGCATGTCTAGTAAAGTGAGAGCCCAAATATCAATCAATTTTAGATTCCATGGAGAAGTCTTGTTTGCTTGGTAACAAGACTTTCTTGAATGCTTTTTTTTCCCTTGTTCATATTTAAGTGATATTATTATTATTATTAAGAAGAGAATAAGAACAATTGAAGGCCTCCGGGGCTTTCGTCTAGCGGTAAGAACATAACACGTGATATGTGAATAACGACATACGTTACAAGTTTGAATATTGTCGATATAAAATAATACGTCATTTTAGCAGAGAAAGATAAAAAGGGTGGGGCCGTTAATTAGCATTTATTGAGTTTTAGACGGTATGTTGCGTGCACTCTGAGATTTCTCAATTATCGGTCAAAAAGAATAATAACAACAAGAATCATAGGAGGAAGTGGGGTAGGACGTTTGATTTCTTTCCATAACGAAAGATATTAAATTTGATCTCTAGAATCAGAAACCTCTCCATAAAAAGCATTTCATCATATAATGTATCTATTACATGACAAATATCCGAACTAATCGTTGGAGAAGGATACAAGGGCCAGTCTATTATTTATCGAGTTTCGAATTATATGTTGCGTGCACTCCGAGATTTCTCAATTATCAATAAAAAATAATTATAACAACAAGAACCATCGAAGGATGTAGGGTAGAATATTTCATAGATTTTTTCCATCTTTAATCAAAGATCTTGAATTTGATCTCTAGAATAAGAAACCTCTTAATAAAAAGCATTTCATCTTTTAATGAATTTACATGACAAACATCCAAACTAATTGGTAAGAAAGGGTACATGGGTCAACCTATTATCTATCGAGTTTTGAATTGTACGTTCACGTCAACACCAAAGAATTAGTGGGCTAATTGAGATTATTTCATCTTTAATCAGAGATCTTGCTTTTGAGCTCTAAAACAAAAACCTTTTTATAAAAAACATTTTGTCAAATCTATAAGTTTCGAATACTGAACGGTTAAAATTAAAAGAAAAAAAGATGAAGAATATTAAGGAAAAGTGGCCGCCCACACCATGACTAATGCACATGCAATTGGTTAAGAGTGGAGTCATGTCTATAGTACTTTTGCCACAGTAAAGTGTAGTGACAGTGACTTGGAAGGTGGGATTTGTTTTCTTTTACTTGTTCTCATGTTAGGATAAATGTTTACGAGATAAAGTTCAGTTAGTCAAGTAAATGAGTATTTTAAGATTGTTAATATATAATTTGAAAGTGAAACTAATAATTCAAGCTAAATTTAAGAGTATTTTTAATACTTCTCACTTTATTTTTCAATTGTGAGTTTTCACCTATTCATTTACTTTATTGACTAAAGAAAACAAACGATTCTGCGTAAACATTAATGGACAAGTCAAGAAGTACTTGTTTTAGGATGTTCTTATAGTAACTTTTCAAGGAACAATATATTAAAAAAAAAAAAACTTATCGCAAAATATCTGTCATATTCTTTTACATGCTCCTTAAAAACTATTAATTAACAAGTTTTTAAGAAAAATTATTTTAGCCTTCATTGTTATTTGAACAATCATAACATCATTTCATAATTGAAGCGTTTGTACTATTCAAGAACAATACCTACAGGAGTAAAATAGTGTGTGTGAGCGGAGGGGGGAGGGATAATTAATTTTGTATTGAATTTGTAAAACAATAAATAATTTGAAATAACTATTTTAGAAAGCGCGATAGATAAATTGAGACGGAGAATTTTATTTAAAAATGCTTTGGACCAACATTTCACCATTTTATGCGTGGTTTTGGACATGATAGAGATACAAATATTTCTATTTTCACGAGATAAAAATAAAATATGTACCCTCCTTGAATTCATCGTAAAATTTCATCAAATATATATTTGTTATTGCGGATAATATCAACCAAAATTTCACTGATTGTTTATAAAGACATAGCTAACGTGTTTAATTATTCGCAATGATGAAACCAAAAAATGTCAAAATAAATTGGTAAAAAATTGACTAAACAAGAATCATACTATAAAGTACACATGATTTGGTACCCATAAAGTAATAATTTTAAAAATTAAAACTAGGTAATTAATGACTGTAATAATACTCTTAGTTCTTTTTAATGTACGAAAGACAAATTAATTGCACACAATTTAAAACATACTACTACAATAATTTTAATAACAACTAATCAATAAATTAAATGTCCAATCTAACTTAATTAGTGTTCATCTTTAACTTAACATTATAACAAAATAGTCAAAAGCAACGGCGTGGTGAATGATTCTGTTAAGTGGTGATTAGTTAATTAACTAATTAATTAATCCCAAAAGTAAGCAGCAGAAAGCTTAGTAAAAATGATTAAGTCTTTTGGTTATGTTAAAGGAAGTGTCGAACTCATAATTGTCTTGTTGTACAAAAGTTACATAAAAAATGGCAAGTTACATATTTGATCGATCAGCTCAAAATAATTAAATTCACTAGTTAAATACGTAAAAATCTGTATTATTTTGTATCAAAAATAAACATTTATGTATACTATATATTAGTAAACAAAATATCTATACTTGATGATTATTATTTTTATGGACGACTAAAAAGAAAAAAAATACTTTAAAAATAAATTAAGCTCATCATTAATCCAAAAAAATTGCATGGATTAACTGTAGCACTAACATGGGACATGAGGAGTAAAA